CACCTGCATCGTTGTCCTTTTCTATATGCTCACCACTTATCATTGACAAAAGGTCTACTTCTTATTAAGAGTGATATTGGATTAAATACTTCGTTTAAGGTATTTGATTTGTCTAGATGGGTTAAGCAAATACATCGCACTCAGGAAGTGACCATTACGCCAATTCAGACCTTCAATTCAGACGCCAGCTCAGAATTTAACGACGGTGCCGCGGAGAAATGAATATATTACCATTTCAATATCTTTGGTTTGTTATACTATGTTTCTTAGCCGCGCTCCAATAAGCAAAGACTTATTACTTTTGAGTTATCGATTTGTGTTGAGATACTATGGCGAAGCACGGAAGGTCCTGTGTAAGTTACGGCCGGAGCTTGAACAATGAGATGACGTATGTGCCGTCTTTAATCGCTAGGTAATCTTTACTCAGACCATTTCTGCAATGGATGAATATATAAAAATTACTGATTGACTTTTTGCGGTACAGAGGCTCTTTTGCCGAAGTTTTAAAAATGCATTAAAGAGAGTCCTTAGGGTACCGCTCACTTGAATTTAGCTCATTTGTTCTATTCAACATTAGCTATATGTTTGGCTAAAAGTACGTCCAACCGAGGTTCTTCACGTAGCTATGAGAACAGCTTACGAACGAAAAAAAAGAGTTTTTAGTTCACTGTAAAGATTTCTCAACAAAGAAAAATGGGGAAAAATAAAAAAGGGATAACACACTTCGACTGGCCATATTGAACCAGTACAAGAAGAAAGGTGTATTTCAGGGGCCCTTTTATTGTTTCTATTGTTCAACTTCAGAATATTTATTCCAAAATAGTTTATAAAAAAGGGCTGTCTTGTGCTGCCTCCTGGACCAATTTTGGCACGTGTATGTAAATCAATCCGAAATTCCTGGACCAAAATAAACATCGGAAAAACTCACGGGAAGCGTAAAATTTAAAAGTCAAATTGGCCATGCTTCTATTTTTCTATTTATTTTTGTGTCGCGTAGTCAACTGTCGCTGAAATCGTTCTACTGTTTGTTCCGCAACAAATGTCATCTTCAATGGAAAATATTCAATTAGGATATTTCATCAAACCTGTTATCCTGCAGCTTACGCAAATTGTGTGGGCGTCTTTCCATGAGTAAGTTTTGTTGGTCCTAATGTGCGTATTCCTGACATGGGTAAAATGGACGGCCATTACCCAGCAACGTTCCTATAGATTGGCAGTCTAGCTCAATACAGTTAACTCCCGCATAAAAAAACAACAAGCGATTGTGTGCTGGAGTTTCACGATTGTATATTTTTTCATGAAAATATCCACACGTTCCGATAGCACAGATTTTCACACAGATTTTAATGTATCGTTCGATCCAAAAATAAAAAAAAATCCAAAAGAAACGAGTGTCATCAATGGCTCGTGTTGAAAGTAGAATGGCACGCCGCCGATATTTCAGACTATTAAGCCCCGAAGATATTTTGCAAAATTTCCGGGTAGAAATTGATACTAAGATTTAAATAGAGCGTTTACATCATCGGACACATTCGTTGTTAACAATCTTAGTCAACACCATCATCTTTTTCGAAATTATTCCATCGCTTTCTATAATGCCCTTCAGAAGAAGCAGGGAAATCGAGTACGCTTTGTTTTAACCTACCTGTTGAAGTTTAGCTGCAACTTCGATGATATTGCTGTCATATGTACATACCACTGGATAGAGAGAGAGCTCTACAGGGTTTGCTTGATTTCCTTAGTGGAAAGAAGTTCTTCCCGAATGGGCGGGTCAGTCTAGTTTCTGTAGCTCGATTTGCTGTTGCAACAATAAGTCATCGAAGAAGTGACGACGGGCAGTTTGTTGAAAAATCATTAATGCTATTCCAAACTGTACGGTTTTTTGGTCGATAGCTTTGAACTGTGTGTGTGGAAATAGAAAGCAGAAGATCTCGAAAAAAATTACCCCTCTAAATTAAGTTTTGAATTTGTTTGTGCTAACTGTAGGATACACAACTACACATTTCAACTTGTCCTTATTCTGATAGATAACCAGGTGTCTGACGAAGACCTTTATTATATTTCGATCTGTATGTACCTGAATACACGTACTTAACCCATGCAATGGATTTTACCGTGGGCATCGATAATCGCAATAGACTTTCGTCGCCTTTCATCCTGTGTACTTAACTCTAACTCCAATTATTAGGTAGCACAGTAAGAATGCTTTACGACAGGTCAGGACCCTTTACTACTCTGCCTTATGTCTTGTTCCTCGCATTCCGTCTTCCGTATTGGCTCCAGTCTGGTTAATGTGAATCTGATGTAACGGTACGCGGTATTAGAAAAGACATACATACAATAGCATCTAATACCAAATCCATAATAAATGAAGTTGAGGTTTTTTCACTTTTTAATATAGAACTCGATGTTAGAAGCTTATTATCCATCTGTACTAAGTCAACTGAAAATGGTACGTTATTACTGGTTTCTCCGCTACAAAGCAAATGGCTATATTCGTAAATTTAAAATTTATAGGTCAAGCTTACGTACGAATCTCTGATGTAATCAGTGATCGATCATTCGAAAAGCACGCGACATTAGAAAAGGCATTATTTTTTTTATCTTATCCTTAAAAAGCAGAAGTCAGAATCTGAGATCTTTGATTTTTTGTCTCGACAGTATAACTTAAGCCAAAATGGTAAACTGATCGCTTTAATAAAAAATGTTTTTAATCTTATACCTATAATAACAATTTAATAATCGAAATTGCTACTGTGGGAATGTAGAGTTAGAATAAATCCGCACTAACCTCCTCGATATTGAAGACGCTTCGTCCATTGTAATCATATAAAAATAGTCTGACTCGGATAGATGTATATTTTCTCCCAGATTTTCGAGTTTAATTTTTTTTAGTCTAATAATGTTGTTCTTGCAAGGAATATCTATTATGATTACAGCATAAAGGGTGAACCTTGCAACTTATAATTTCTTTTATTGCCTGCAGGCAGACTATATAGCTTAATTCGTACCTCTACGTAATTTTGAAGGAATCTTCGCCCCATATGTCTATTTGTTGCTTCATGCGGTATAGTACCTGGATCTTGGGGGTGTCAGCAGAGCCTGGACTCGATATATCAGAAACTGCACGTTCACAAACGACTCTAGCATTACACTTACGTGATGTCCGCCGTAGGAAACACGCTACGTACGAGATATACATCGTACATATTCTTTGAAAAAGTGTGACAAATATTATTAGATATTAAATCTTGCAATATATGACTCTCCTCTCCGTAACTTATGCCATGCCATCATATATTAGAAATTAAACCAACAGATCCTAAGTGGTTTTATCAGCACAAGTAAATAGCAGACTAAAAGTTTATGGCTGATGTTGCCAGAAATTCTAGAGAGTTGGCGGAAGTGCCCTGCTTCTAGAGTTCGATAGTCTACCCTCCCCAACACGAGCGGCCATCGAAGAGCCCATAGGCTTCACAACGTTTTTCTTTGAAGTGAGGTCTCAGATCCAACCCAATAATGTTCGACACATTCTCTAGTGCAGAGCATCTATCATTGGCTGACTATTGCAAGTATTTGAATAATTCAATAATCAGCAATGTCTATGCGGAAGATGTATCGGTTAAAGTAGCAGATGTTATCTTGTGAGAACAACGTTCAGCAGAATAATCTCCTACCACCTTTAATTTGCTTACTCCCCTTTCATCTATGTTACTCCCTATGATTCCGTACTTCCCTATGATGATATTAAAAGTTAACAACCTGCATCGATGTCAGTTCCTTGATGCAGTTTTAGACACTCCTATACAGCTTTATGAAAAAGGTTCAATAGACCTTCTAGATTCAAGCGTAGGTAGCCGTGTCTTTAATATTAGCGCCTTGTTTGTATTGTTTACGATAGAGAATTTTTTATAATAATGAAGAATAAGTTTTAGAATAATGAAGGATAAGTTTTATGCTTGTTACATATAACAGCTATTTTATATAATATATAATACAAAGTTATATATTACAGCAACTTATATAACTTGCCATAGTAATATTCTAAACGCATAAACTGGTTCTAAATATATTTGTATATGTGCACATGTATAACTATAATGTAGAAACTAGACGGAATGGGATGCATCTGCGCAACACTGCGATGTTCCCGCTCTATATAAATTCAATATTCGGATAAATATTCGTAGTGGCCACAGATTTCAATCAAGTTAATAATAATAAAATTTGTTAGAGCCTAATAAATTTTAGCCCCCGGTCAACCGCTGTAACAATTCGCGTTGCCCTGATGGATGTCCATAATATAATAGCTGATCCAGAAATTCTTTTTTTTTCGGGAAAGTCAATGCCTGAAGCATATGACACCTTCTTTTTTCTTGAAAGGCCCCTGGTTACGTCGAATTAGTCCTTGTTATTTAGAAACGTACGTATGGCTACAATATAATACAAAGAATTTTATCTGCGGTTTTTATTGTTAAAATTCAATGCAACTCCACAAAACGCTTATATGACCTGGCACATTTTCATAAATAAGTTGACACCATTTTAACACAAGTTTGAAGCGATGAATTATTACCCATATTGGCTTGTTTAGTTGTGGTCGTCGGCGCTAAGCATTACGGTCACTTTCGGTCGGCCGTGAAACTCGATGTACTTGAAGAACAGCGAGTTCCACGAAGCTTGTCCGGGATTCACGGAAAAATAGCATTATAGGCTCATCGCAGCGACTATACAGGTAACAACCACGCACTCAATTGCTTGTCGGTTACAGGAGTATTTATTGCTTCTAACATGCGCATGAACCGCAATTCCTTAGTCAAACACGTAGTACAATGTAAATTCCAGGACTTCGCTTTTCCTTTGCGACAAATGAGTACAATGATTTGTGTCTGCCATCCTGCAGGTAGAACTGTAGTCGTCGACGCGGTCTATTGTACGAATTTAGCAGACGATAAATCTACGAAACCCTAATTCCTATAGATTTTACTCTATGCTGTAAACGTGCATGGCGAGATCGACCGTAAATCTAGCCTACAGCGACTGCTCAAGGAAATCCTCGAACTCACCGATAGTTGTTATCAGGTAGCTGGTGTGATACTTGGTGTGATACTGGTTAATTAATTTGTTATTTTACCTACCATAGAACAATTTGTTAGAAGTTAACCGTAGTAGAAGAACAGCGAAAATCAAGTGCTCGTTAGTATACTAGCTTCGCTAACTTTACGCCGACTAACCTGCAGTTTTAACTCCGACTATGGAGCATACCCCGAGTTGAAGGGCATCTAAGGTGCAAAGCACTAATCTACAGCTTAACATCTATGCACATAATAATATCGAATCCTAAAATATACTAAACTTTGGATTATCGGCTATATAGGACGAGTCCTATGAATCCGATCATTGATTTTTTAATTACTGGACGGTATATACACCACAATTTAGAGCGCTAGATTTGTTATCTTCATTCAACCGATAACTTACCCAAGGCAAGAAGCCGAAGCCAGGTTCCTTTGTTGTGAAATACAGACGGTTGTTACGTCCCGAACAAATTTCGCAGGATTCGGATAAACAGCAACAGTACGCTGAAAACTTATCGATAAATGGCATAAGCATGACAAGGTATAATTGTAATGTGACGGCATGCGTTCTATTTTCCACAATGATCTAACTCAAAAGACGTCTTGTATAAGCTTGTTGTGCCATTAACTTGAAAGTGAACCTCTTTGATATACCGACACTTCCCTTCGAAAATGTTGCTAGGCAGTGGACCATCGGTGATAAATTTATTACGGACTGTAACACATGTTGAAAATATACATACTAAAAGAAATCGGTGCGCCACTGCTAATACAATATTTTCATATGACAGGTTTTTGAATGTTAGATATGAACACTAGCCTCTCGATTGAGAGTTATTTTAAACGGTATCAGCGTACCTACTACAATGGAGGTTTAAGGCTTTGGCCTGGAGGGCCGCGATAATAGATAACTTAAAAATAAGAGCAAATGACTCATACTACATAGTCTGTGTGAAACAGAGAAACTGTTAAATTTAATAGTTCATTTCAGCCAAAAGTAAAAGTATTCTAGTAAATACTCCGTAAGTATAATCACAGAAATATTTCTGCAGCATAGCGTGACTCCTGGAGAACCTCAAAATCATCAGTTCTCGAGATTCTGTTGGCACTACCTGATTTTGGTTAAAACTAATAAGGATACAGTATTTTACACGCATTGGGCACAAGTAAGGAATCGATACATTTTGTTATTAACTAATTTTCTTTAATTCCCAGAGATGTAAGGCGACAAACTTCAGTCGCGGAAGCACTGAATTCATCCAATCTCTATTTCGCTAGGTGCTCTCTGAAATATAAATCGAGTAAACGAAAAGGTAGGTTTAAAGCTATATCCGTTTCCTTCTGGAGGATTTCAACTCTATGTAGCTTCATCACGCAGGCCGTACAGCAAGGCTTAGTTTATAATACAATGTCTACTATGAAAGTACTAATTCGAACGTTTACTGGCTCTTTCGTGCTGGAACGTTAATTTCTTGCGTTTCGTGTAAGCACAAGCCTAGACGGCCAGTTCACCTCCGCTTGTGCTAATGGCAGTAACTTCAAGACAAATGGTCTGATAGATATCTACTGGCGCACGCAATCCGTTCTCACAGTTGTCAGCCTAAGTACGCCTCAGCTGAACTCTTGCGGCAGCGATATTGAAAAAAACGCCGCTGAGAAACTATGGCGCGTGTACTCGTTTTGATACTTGGCATCTCGATCACGGTTGTGCACTTAGTCCTACCCCCGCCTAAACATAGTTCTCGATCAAGGTGAAATAATACAACTTTAAAAAAAAATTAAACGTAATTTCTCTTCTTTGTCCAACACAATTCTGGGATTGGCTTAAAATTGCTAACGCCACTTTGTGTAAAAGATTACACACGATGTATGATAAATTTCTTGTATTGACATAAATCTTCACCGTGATCCCAACGCTGACGCCAAAGCTGATCCTGCTGTAATCGGCAATCCTGAGAGTGCTGACAATCATTTAGGACATATTTATCATTATAGTGATTCCCGTTAGCAATGATACGAGGCCGATGAACATTTCCGTCACCTCAGTGAAATTTATGAGGATAAATTCTCAGAGTGTCCTTATCAATATCGCCATTTTTATCATCACGGCGATCGTTAATACCAGTATCGCGGCCGCCTTAACAACGATGCAGGTAAAAACCAGAAGCACAATGAAGAGCTATTGAAGCACTTAGAAGGCCTTTGAAGAGACGCTCATTGGCCTTTTGACTGTTGCGCCTGTAACAGTTATATATTAAACATATCTCGTCACAACTAGAAAGTAACCGCAGATTTTAAGGATTTCAGATTAGCCTTTTACGTATAGCATTCGTTTGGTACAGTGTTATAAGCAATAATTTTTTTTATTACGTAGACGCTTTCATAATTTAATGTTTTTTGTATATATATATATATAAAAGTATTTACATACTGCTGGTTGCCGAACCTCTTCAGACTGCTATTCGTGAAGACGCCTTTGGGCAGTTTTCTTGTACCTTAAAAAAACGCTGTTAGAAATTAATTTCCCGCTTTTTCACGAGTAGCACACGCAAGTCCTACCTATTTGATTAGTGGAACTAATTTATTACTCATAATGTAAATGGTCATCATGCGTATGTGAACTAGAATGACAGCTATGTAGATCTAACGATACGCAGATAAGAAAAAAAAAAAGTCTCAACCTCATCTTGAAGGACGGGCCTGAACAAAGCTGATACGCATAACCTGCAGGCGACCCTGAAAACGCAGATTAAGGCTAATAAACTCGATGTATGATCACAGCAACAAACTAAGCCCCAATTCTACGAGCAGGACAACCTCCGAATACTAGTCGTTTCTTCTTGTTTGTTTATCTCTATGTTGTGTTTCTTCAGTATAATTTTATTCTTGACAAATCTAATCTTCTTTAGAAGAATACGATTGCAAAAACAAGTGGCTTTACGAACGGGTTGACAATTCGAGAATACATAAACATATATATTTACGCCTCGTGTTAACCCTTTGGTTTTCATTTCCATTCAAGTTGATTTTGATATCGAAAAAAAAAAAAACTAAGATTACTGCTTTCGGAACCGCACTACCAACAATTGTGTATCCCTGAAAATGATATCTATTACAGTGCATGCAGGTCTATACGCATCGAGATCTCACAAGGCAGGCAAGCCAAATGATCTGATGGCAATGGGGGACCCTGCTACCTTCTTGAGCACCGCTGAAGCTCAAAACGACACAGCTGCCATTGAGAAGGTTCGTCTGCGTTCGTCCACAATCTCAGCTCAGGCGCCCTATGTTCGCTGTTGAGATCAGTCCGATTCGAGTGCTTCCCTGGAATGATATACCCACCGAGGAACGCTGCAGTGTACCTCACGCTGAAAATGTGGGATAGAAAAAAATCAAGCATTTGTCCACCTAAGACATGGAAGATAAAAACAAAGAGAAGATGGAGATTTTTTCTTTGATGCCGTCGGCAGAAACAACACAATCGCCATAGACATCAACATGTTAACTATCTGCTAAGTCATCATACGAATCGTAACATTTTATCTTCTGAAACGATGGTACTGCAAACAGCAAAAACATAATCCGGCGATCATAGCAAGAATTATGTATTTATTTGGGCTTGAGGCATTTGACCGCCTATTGCTTGCCAGTTGAACTTACCGATTGGATATTGTTAGGTAAAGCGCTAATAACAACATACGAACGAGGGTGCCTTAGCGTGCTACACATGCAGCATCAATCTTCGATAGGTAAGACAATGAACTTTAGTTAAAGGTACGAACTTATTGTCGAGCGAATACAGCGTTCTCCAGTCGAAAACAAGTAAAACAACAATTATTTAAACAGAAAAGAGAGAAACATGGCGTATATATCTAAATAACGTTCGGCAAGACTCATGTTTGTTTTTCGTTACTCATGCATGTTATTAACCCCTACAAGTTTTTCATAGGGGGATATAGTTAAATAGTAAAAGCTTCAAGCACAGTTTTGAGGTCACACAATACAATTGGGATGCACTTTTAACGCAACACTGTATTGAAAATTTAGGCTGGCCAACACTAACATAAACCTAAACCTCTGTTAGCTCGTCAGGATCAGTGAGTTTGAATCAACGATTCACATTGTAGTATTTTAGGAAAAAAAGACGGGAGCAAACACGAGTGAGTTACACACATAGATTAGATAGACAGTAAACTAATATGCTTGACTTGATGAAACCCAGTTACCATCTGCTTTGAAATTTTAGGGCTAGCATGGCCCCACATGCGCGCCCTTGTGCACCGCCAGCGCCCACCACTGCAATAGACATGATAATAAATAAATGAATAATGAAGCTTTTCTTGACGCGATTGGTTGGACTGAACTTTGTACGAGCGGCAAAAAAGATGCTGGATTCAATTTACATGAGTAATGTCCAGCAAGTTAGATTGCTATAATAGAAAGTCAAAGACTAGCTCTATTTCTAAGTGTCTATATCATGTTTGTGCTGCGAGACAAATAATAATACGGCCAGAGAAAAAGGTAAAGGTTTGACATTACAACATTGCGAAATGCGCATTTCGTTGGATTATAGGTATCCTACCTGGAATAAGGTAGAACTCTCAAAGAAGAAGAAGAAGAAGCTTATTTGAGCGGAGGACAAAACCTATCATCGCTGATTGATTAAACTGATTGTTATTCCTGTTTTCGAACATCATCGGTGGTGCACCCCTCTGAGAGCTTCGAGTGGTCCTATTCGAAAAACGAAATTAGAACCTTATTTAGTTAGATCTCGAAGATTCGTTTTTCTCACATTAAAATCTTGTACGAGATTCCAATCAGCTTCAAAGCATACTAAATTTGATCTTCAAAGGTTCATAATGATTTAAATCAAGCGAATAGAAAGTGAATCGTGCGTACGGGTTTGTGATACTAATGTATCATAAGTGAGGCGTTACTAGTCACCACCGCGGTGCTAATACTGGCTGTCCGGAGAGATCGTCAGATAGAGAAATTCCATCTGAGCCCATAGTCAACCCGAGCATGAAGGTCAACATCGTGATCAATATTGTGACTGCCTTTAGAAAAACAGTAACTCAATAGTTTATCGCTTCAAATTGGCCCTGTAAAAGTGTTCGTAGTCAGGCCGTTGGACACCGATATAGGGAATGTATGTGATCGATGCTGTTGCTGCTGGGTCTACGATGAGTACGTTGTATTTTAGAGGCGCATACAAATGCACATGCTTACCAAGCGCAATATCGGTCTTGGATAAAATATTTTAATTCCGAGGCAGCGACTCGCAGGACGTCACCCAACTAAGGCTCAAAGCTGAGCGATCGATCAAAGCTGCGATCAACTTCTTGACTATTAATATGATTAAACAGTTGGAACGCCCGTACACGGTACGTAGGTGAAGTAACTAATTGAAACGAGTAAAATATCTTAATTAGTAGTATGATTATCGCTGGTAGCCAATCGGGACTTCAGTAACAAAGTAGATTGCCACTTAGTTACCTTAAATACAAATCAAAACTTGCCTTTACTATAGATAGGATCTTTCAGTGAAAAAACTTGTAACTGTTTTTCTCGTGCGATGCCTATGCTTGTTACTCTAATGATGGTAATGCCGCGATTCCATGAGGGTGGAGTCGCTCATGCACTATATATTGCAGAAGGCGCTTCTAGCCGTCAGGACACATCAGTGTGGCGCACATATGTCAACTAGCATAAAATACAATGAAATGAAATGAAAAGCGAATCCAGATGTTATAATCTTTAACATTTTCAACGAAGCATCAATCTTTCGATTGTATCGAAAAATGCCAACGCTGAGTCCGCCTACAACAATCTCCAGTACTTGGTCAATATGAGATAGATAATAGAGTAATTCCTTCCTGCCCCTATCATTTCCACCGTTGGTTTATATAGGACCTGCAATAAAAGTAGAAATGTTGATTATTTAGGTTTCAGTTATCGTCTTCTCACATCCTTGTATATAAACCTCGTACGAGTCTGCAAATAATTGTATGTGGACACTAAATGATATATGCTTCTACAACACCTCGGCAGGTCCTTCAGGCTTTTGACATACGCCAGCTTTCACATGACAGCAACATTCCTTCATTGAGCTTTTGATCGAGAGAAATGATCCTACTCAGTCTCGAAAGGATCTTTATCCCGTCTCACGAAAAGCGGTTTCCGTCATCGCCGAAAATCGCAAAAAGCCTGCGGTTGCCTTGTGCCGATTGCTCATGTATCGTTCGCAGTGTCCTTTTCTATATCGCTTGTTAACCCGGCTCCCCTCTAGCGGATTCCTAATTGTGCCACTAGCCCGCACAAGTAGATAATCTTTGGGCATACCATGATATACTTGCTACTGTTTTGGCTATGTGTAACTATGCTGCACTCCTATATATACCTGCTACATTAATGCTGCATGAACTGGCTTGAGAAAGTAGTTTCGCCGCGGAGATGCGCCGAGGTCCAGGGTAAGGCAGGAAGAGGCAATCAGAAACCTGTATCCAAATGCATTCGCCCATGTGCACCGCACTAGTTATATACCTATGTTTGTATATCTACTTCTGTATCACTAATCTGCTCTATTCTATATTCACACTTCACAGTCAGAGATGTGTACTCAGGCCGAATGTACGTGTGTACATGTGCCTGCGCGTTTGTTTGTCTATGTGGGGGAGTGTGTTTACGCGTCACTATATGTGTGCGTATATGTACTTATCAAACGTATCAGATGGTATTGTTTACATACGTATACATACATATGCGTATCAGCCGGTAGGCGTCGCTTTGTGATCGCCGCATCTACGGCAGGTGGCTATTATCAGTTCAGTCGTTGTAGAAAAGATAGGGCATAATGAAGTGCAAAAAGCTATCAACACACAAATACCACCGCCTGCCGGCACAGCCAGACTGCGTCTTATACCGATACTCGACCCAGATGTAAAAATGGGTCTGCTTTAAACGAGTCGCACTAAATAACGATAGCTAAGAAAAATACTTGCTTTATAACGAGACCCTGACCGGACTAGAGAAGAAGCGTAATTGACCATTATAAACTTACTGCGACCCAATTTGAAACATCTAGCTTCCCAAGAATTGCTTATACATAGAATTGAATGTGGATATATTAATAAAGTTAACTGATTAGTAATAAAATAGCGGGCCTACAAAGTAATGTTCACGTTGATCAGTGATTTAGGGACTATCATTGCGGTAGCCGTAAGCTGAAAGATAAAGATTTATATTATATATTTATGTTGACAAAATAACGGGTACAATTGTACCGTTACTGCAACTCGCACAGGATCCAGCGGACTCTCGAGAAGAACGAGACAATATTTTAATTTTCTTATATCAAATCATAATATTAACTATAATGATGTAATTATACGGATCTGTCAAATTGTACAATTGAACGAAACCGATCTGCAGTTGAAAGGTACTCTAGTGTTTGCCCGCAATAAAAACAAATCACACTTAAACTCAGTCAATGCCTCCAAGTTGACAAATAGGTAATTTAGCTGATATTCTCTAAGTAGTACCCGAACTGGGAGGAAACGCATTCGTTTACTACAATATAGCGTACACGGAATCGACTAAAAAATTATCTATTTTCATAATTTGCAAGCTAAAATTGTTTCTAAAACGTTATAATAGCTGCACATCTATCACCGGTTCAAATAACCGGGACGCAGCATATTTTCGGTACGCGAAATACTATTATATATTACATCAAGGATTATTTACGCGAAGATGAAGAGTTACCTTTACAGAAAGATCAACAGTGAAAGAGGATTCGTCTCAAAACTATATGTGGTACCTCTAGGTGTCCAGAAGCTGTTAGGAACGTATTAATCTGTTACATAAAGGTGTGCCTGCTAAGCCTAAATAAAGCCTGCAATCTTGAAGGTATAAGCATTCATTCGAGGGTATAACGACCGCAGGATTGCGATCGTTTAATAAACTATGTAGTAAACATGTTGCAATAAGTAGAGTTAGAAGCCTCTGGATAACCTCTCAACGCCGCAAAGAGCACACAAAAGCATCTTTACTTACCACACAGGCTTGCTTATTTTCGTTGGCCATTATTGGGGCATACGAACGGGCCGAACGCTCGAAGAGTATGTCATAGTATAAAGGTTAGTCGCTGCAGGCCTTCACCGAAATAACTTTTCCGCGCGAATTTTCATGCTGAAAAATCTCTAATGCGTGCCTTCGTCCTTTTCTCGGTCGTCGTACGACAATGTGAGTTAGAGGTGCCGACAGTATTTCCTAGTAATTCTGTACGAATACTATATGTGCTAACTCCTTTGATCTTTGACTAAATCGATGATTTAGCTGTGCAGGTTAATGACCATACACGATTACGGTTTATCAGAGGCTAAAGAATAGAGCCAAATCGACAATAGGTCAAAAAGATCCGATAAGAACTGAAACGATCTCCTTTTAGCCCCTCGTTCTTTGTACTGACATACTTATTTGATTTTTGGCGCGCTATTTCAAATGCATATATCAGCCTCGTCAATTCATTTACTTATACGTGACTGAATTGTCGGTCCGTATAATTGAGACTTTCCACAACGGTCTAATAGTTCAACAT